CCCCACCCCCAGTTCCCAAATTTTTGCCCAGCAATCTTGTCTACTTCCAATATCCAATATCCAGGAGGATAACTATATGTTTTTCTTTGGGTTCACCTTCTTATTTAGCTTCTCTAGGATCATGAATTATATATAGGCTCACTGTCCTTTATTTATGGCTAAAAACCAATTGTGAGTGAATGGATGAAGAAAGTGTGGAATATATACATATTAGAGTACTACTCAGCGGTAAAAAACAATGACTTCTTGAATTTTGCATGCAAATGGATGGAAATAGAAAACATTATCCTGAGTGAGGTAACCCAGACCCAAAAAGATGAACATGGGATGTACTCACTCATATTTGGTTTTTGGCTGCTGTTTTTTTAAACATGGGCACTGAAGTTTGAACTCAGGTCCTCATACTTGGGCAGCAGACACTGTCCTGGCCGAATCTTTTCTCTTGTCCGTATTTCTCCTCTTTAAGTTCTAGTAAATCACGGATTAGTTATTCTGGACCTGTGCTGAGGTCATGTGTAGTTGGACATTGAGGGGAGTGTGTGTCCTCTTAGCTAGATCAAGCTACTGGGCTCAGTCTCCTGTCTGAGTCTGCCATACTTCCCATAGAGAACGCTGGTGGCCTGCTGTAAAGGTCTGGGGTATGGATCATGCTGTTTTCTTAGCAGGAAGCAAAGGCATCTTCATGTCCAGATTTGGGGAGTCACCTTCCATACCTGCTCCACCGCCTTTGCAAAGGAAAGCCCCTGGTGGGAGGAAGGGGGTTGAATGAGAAAGGTGTGGGCAGTTTTTAGCATTTTGCTTCCTTGTCCTTCTGACAAACGCAGGTCACGAGACTACTTGGCCTGAGAGAGCGGAACTAAAGTTTGGCTCTGCTCTCCTAGCTCTGGGAGGTAGGTGGGTGGAATGCTCATTTGTGTAAGGTCTGGTGAGTCAGCCAAGGTCATGGGGGCATTTCTGATGCTCCCTTAATGTTTGTTGTCCCAGTGGTCTCTAGACAAACTTGCCTCAGTCTCAAGTCCCTTGACAAGAGGGTGATTTCTTTTTTCTAATGGGTATGTATCTGTTTTACTCTTTGGGGGCCCTCTGTCCAGCTCCCAAATAAATACATGGAGACTTATTTTTACTTACAAATGTCCTTAGTTTGGCTTATTTATAGCAAGTTTTTCTAACTTAAATTATCCTGTTTCTCTTTAACTGCGTTTTTGCCTCTGGGCTTTTACCTTTCTTTATTCTATATGTCTTTCCTTCTTACTCCACGACCGGCTAGGTGGCTGGCCCCTGGCTTCTTCCTTTCCTCCTTCTCTCACTCCTCACTCCCTTTGCTAGACTTTTTCTCCCTTTAATTCTCTCTGCCTGTCAGTCCCCCCTATTACTCTATTGGCTGTTCAGCTCTTTATTAGACCAATCAGGTGTTTTAGGCAGGCAGAATAACAGCTTTACAGAGTTAAACAAAAGCAACATAAAAGATTGCAGCACATCCTTGCATCACTGGACAAATATTCCACAGCATAAACAAACATAACAATACATCTTAAACTATTATTTCACAACATTGGTCTCTGTGTGTGGATTTGTGCATGTGTGGTGCCCACAGAGGTCAGAAGAGAATGTTGGATTTCCTTTAGTGGAGTTACAGGCAGTTATGAGTTACCAGATATGGTTGCTGGGAGCTGAATCTGGGCCCTCTTCGAGGGCAGTGCACACTCTTAACCTCTGAGTGATCTCTCCAGCCCCGGGTCTGTCTTTTAATTTGTTTTGTTTTTGAGTACCAGTTCTTCTTTCCTCACGACACATCCCACTCTGTCTATTTTGAAAAACAGCAAATACTTGGCTCTGTGTAGTAGGATTCATGTGCCATCTTTATGATAAAAATAATAATAATAATAATAAAGAACCAGAAGACAGTTTCCCAGATCTGAAACAGCCAGAATGCTGATGTTTTCTTGAGTTTGCAAACACAGGCAGGCAGATTTCTGTCTGCAGGAAGCTGCTGCAGGTATGTGAAGAATCTGAAGGAAGCATGAAGCGGAGGGAGCCCCTCCTCCTGTTTGTCTCCAGTGTGGGCTGGTGCCTGGGCTGGTAGCAGCCCAGGGAACATCAGGTCCTGAGGGGCCAGGCCGTTGGAGGAGCCTCCCCTTTCTCATTCACTGTCGCCTCTCGTAGCCCAGGCTGGTCTTGAGCTTACACGTAGCTGAGGATGACCTTGACCTTGAGCTTCTGACTTCATTTTTTAAATTTACAAGCAGGGTCTTCTGTAGCTCAGAACAGCTGTGAATCCCCTATGAAGCCACGGATAACCTTGAACTTCTGAGCCTCCTGCCTCCAATCTTCTGAGTACTGGGATCACTGAGTACTGAGTTCCACCACACCCACTTAGTTGCCACTCACTCTTTCACCAACAAGTCTCATTCCATGTCAACAGAGTACAGATGAACCCCAGTTCTTCTAGAAAGTTCTCCAGTCATTCTGTATTTTCACAGGGAGAGAAAATGTGAGGGTGTCTAGACCAGCCAGGGCTGTGACTCCTGAGTGATGGCTGGTGACTCCTCAGGGCTCGGTCCTGTCCTGGCTGTTGGACTTTAGGGACCCTTTGCTGTCCAACTCCACTAGCCCAGACATCCTGATGGGATTGGGAGCATTTTGACAACCCCTACCAGTATATTCAGAGGAAGACATGACTGGGTGCTCTGGGCCGAACTGTGCCCTCTCCAGAGTCCTTTGTTGAAGTTGAGACACTGGTACCTTAGGTGTAGAGATGGAGACTTTGAGGAGATTATTGAGTGATGCTGTTGTCACTGGTCCCTGTGTTGTAGGACATGCACACAGAAGGAAGAGTATGTGAAGGCATGGAGGCATCTAGAAGAGAGGTTGCAGGAGAAAGGAGCCCTGCCGTCACTTCTATCCCTGCCTCACAGCCTCTGGAACATCCAGGACCCAGATTTCCTCACAGCTGGTTGAACTCCTTTGTGTGGCCATGGCAGTTTGGGTTCAAGTTTGCCTGGAACCTACTGGGACAGCAAACATCAAGGGAGCTTTAGAAATACCTCCATGATCCTTTTCATGACCTTTTCATGGAAGTACACGAACATTCCATGTACTTCCTGTCACCAAGAGCTCCTTCAACAATTCTGCCTGATCTATAGGAGGGTTCTTTTACAAGTCACAGTGAGCTTGCAAAGGGATGTTGTCCCAGGAGCTTGGGAGATGTCTCGGCTGGTGGAGAGCTTGCTTTCCAAGCCTGAAGACCTGAGTTTGAGTCCAGAATCCATGGGAAAAAGGAAAAGGAACAAAGCTGAGCATGGTGGTGCCTGTTTGTAAGCCTAACAATGAAAAGCAGAGACAGGTGGGTCCTTGGGGTTCACCAGCTACTTAGCAAACTCCGGGCCAGGGTGAGAGACCCTGTCACAAAAAGGGTGGGTGGCTTGTGTTAGTCAATGTTCTCTAGAGGAAAAGAATTGATAGAGTGCACACACACACACACACACACATTTATTAGAATGGCTTAAAGGCTGTGGTCCAGCTAATCCAACGATGGCTGTCTAACAACAGAAGGTCCAAGAATCCAGGAGTTGTTCTGTTCACAAGGCTGGATGTCTCTGCTGGTGTTCAGATGTTCAATATATGCTAAAATTCTGAAGTAGGTTCTAATGCCAGTGAAGGAATGGACTTGCTAGCAAGGGCAAGAACAAGCAGGTGATGAAAGCAAGTTTTTTCTTCCATGTCCTGTGTAGAGGCTTCCAGAGAATATGTGGCCCGGATTGAAGGTATATCTTCTCACCTCAAAAGATCCAGATTCAAAGGGGGCCTTCTCACTTCAAATGATTTGATTAAGAAAAAAAATCCCTCATGGGTGTACCCAGCTGCTTGGGTTTTAGTTTACTCCAGATGTAGTCAAGTTGACAACCAAGAATAGCCACCATGTGACTCCTGAGGAGTGACACTTGAGGCTGACCCCTGGTCTCCGAACACACATACACACACGTGCATACACATACACACCCACACATGTGCACACCCACACACAGCTATCCTGCTCCCCCATCAAGTTTTACCACAAGGTTTATACTTCACTTTTAAATTCTTTTCTTTGAATAGAGTCCCACTGTGTGGCAATCTGTGAACTTCCTGCCTCATCCTCTTTACTGCTGGGAATTCCGGCATGAGCATCACACCTGTGGTTTTTTTTTTTTCTTTTGCTTGGGTATGGGGACAGATGGTGTTGGAGCTGGGAGCTGAGGCATTATTGCTGTTGCTGTGGCCTGCAGAGTCATGCAGCTTCCAGGGTCTTGGGTTCCTGGTCCATCTCCAGTAGGTGAGTGTGGATGCTTTGCATCCCTCCTTGGTCCATCACCAGCAGGTGAGTGTGGATACTTTTCAACCCTCCTTGGTTCATCACCAGCAGGCTAGTGGACATGCTTTGCTTCCCTCCTTGGTCCATCTCCAGCAGGTGAGTGTGGATGTTTTGTATCCCTTCTTGGTGTGGATTAATAAGCAGCAAATCCCCTGGCTGAGTAAGGCTTTGCCAATCTGGAGCCTGGCTCACTTTGTGATTCAGTGTTGAGTCTTCATCCAAATAACCTGTCGGGCATCCTCTTCCTCCTCTCTGAGCATGTAGTCAGCCCAAGCCAGAGCTACGCAGTGCACTATCTGCATATCTGCTGTAACGGGAACTGGCCTGTGCATAACTCATCAGCCATCATGGGCCTGTCCTACAACAACTCACCTGAAACTGGAAGCCACCAGCCACTTTCCCAACCAGTGCCTGGTGGCGTCATGTTTTGCTGTCTTTCTTTAATCTAATTTTGTTCAGTTCAGTGCCACTCCAGAAACTTAAACAGTTCCTAAGAATTCTGAACCATAAGGGGCACTCACTGGCATAAACAAAAGACACACATGGTCCAGTTATGCTCCAGGGAGCTCACAGTTTCCCCAGGAACACAAACAAGATCCCTACACAACATAAGCTGAAAGTATGCAAGACAGATGAGCCACGGTCCCTGTTGAGTAGAACAGAAGTTCCCAGCTCAAATCGATGATGACTTCTTCAATGGTTGGTCTTCATTATTGTGGACCTGAGTGGATTTAGAATTACCTAGGAGACACAGCTCTGAGCGTGTCTGTGTGGACATTTCCAAAGGGTTTAACTGAGGAGGGAAGACTTACCACCGATGTGGGTGGCACCATCCCATGGACTGGGGCCCCAGACTGAATAAAAGTGTGTTGGGGAGATGGCACAACACTTACACCTCCCACACAAGCACGGGGCCCCGTGTTCAGATCCCCAGAGAGCCATGAGACTATTGGGTGAGAGTGGCAGCTTGCCTCTTATTCCAGCACCAGAAGGCGGAGATGGGGATTTCTCAGAGCAAACTGGATGTTAGGGCTTAGCCATATCAGTGAGTCCTGGGTTTGAGTAAGAGACCCTGCTTCAGTGAAGAAGGTGGAAGAGTCATGGAGGATGATGCCTAACGTCTCTCACATGCCAACATGTATACACATGCACATAAACTCCTTTGCATCTGTGCCTACGCACATGCCAAAAGGGCACCATATGATACACATACATAAAAACAGAAAACAAACTTGGAACAGAGGGAAAGGGAGGAAACTTGAGTACCTGCTTTCTGCTTACTGCATCGTGATCCACTGAGACAGAAGAGAGCAGCCTCACACTCTTCAGGCCACGGCTCCTGTTACCATGCCTTCTCTACCGCGGTGGCCTGTACCTCTCACACCGCAAGCCAGGAGACATCCTCCCTCACTGCCTTGTCAGATACTTGTTCACAGCGACAAGTAAGTCATCAGGAAGGCTGCAAGACTTAAGTCGCCAGAACTGGGGAAAGGAGGAGGTGGCCAGAGAGTTCTGGGAAAGATCAAAGAGGAGGAATGGGTCTTGATCTGTCCTTGGTGTCCGTGAGCAGCCTAGGTGATACTATGAGCCATTGGAGAAGTGGGGTACATTGTGGAGCGAGGAAGCTCTCAGGCAGGGTAAGGACTAGTAGAGAGAGGATCAGAGGTGGAAATTGGACTTGAGAATGGCCTGTTTAATTTGGACTGTGTGATGTGGCTTTAAAACAAGTCCCTCCCCATGCTGTTTTCTGTTTCCAGACTCCGATGCCACCACTAGGCCCAGCTGCAGTTACATGTCCTCTCCTGCCCATTTCACACCCTGCCCCCAGTCAAACGGCCACTTCCTTGGCACCCAAGCTGGACTGCTCTGCCAATGGAGCCAAAGTGAGATTGATTTTGGAGGTCAGCCCTTCTGGAGAGCAGAGGACGATCACATGGCCTTCTCTGAGGAGGTCACTAGGTGTGTGGAGGGTATAACTCCAGAAGCTCACATAGGCATTCTCTGGAAAACGCTCTTCCGAAACTAGCGAATTAGTCACTGACACTCCTGAATTAGTGAGACTGTGACCCCCGTTAGATAAGGGTCCCTGACCTAGCTTCTCTCCAGGAGGGCAGTTATTGGGATGGTTGACTCAGTGAGTTTTGAGGGTGCAGGGTAGAATAAGTTCTCGAGGTATTATGGGGGACCACAAATCTAACGGGACAGAATTCTTTTTTTTTTTTTTTTTTGTTTTTTT